CCACTGAGCCATCTTCCCAGCCCCTGGATACTAAGTGTTTTATGTGAGTGATTTCACTCTTCAGTGGGACAGAGGAACTTTTTTTGTAGTATTGGGGTTTGAACTCAGGCCCTTGTGCTTGGTAGGCAAGTGTCCTACGGTTCAAGTCATTTTCCCGTCCCTCTTGGCTTTAGTTATTTTTGGAATAGGGGACTCGGGTTTATACACAAGCCATCTCGGACTACAATCCTCCTCTTTAAGCTTCCCCATGTAGCTGGAGACAAATGCATAAAACTTTCATTTAGAACTAGTAATAGATAGACAAGTTAGCAGGTAATTTATGGAGAAAAAAAGGGAAGAAGCACAAATGTGTGAATAAATGGTAAGAAATATCTATGAAATAAGAGAAAGTAAAGGATAGTAGAAATAGTATCGCTCAAGAGTGAATGCACATATGAAAATCCAGCAACATGCTTTTTGTTTTGTCAGTCGTGGGGCCTGAACTCTGGGCCTGAGCGCTGTCCCTCAGCTCTTCAGCTCAAGGCTAGTGCCTTACACTTGAGCCACAGTGCCACTTCCAGCTTTTTCTTCTTATATGATGCTGAGGAACCGAACCCAGGGCCTCATGCATATGAGGAAAGCACTCTACCACTGAGCCACCTTCCCAGCCCCAACATACTCTTTTTATCTTATTCTAGTGCTGGCTGGCCTTGAGCTCACTCACCCTTCCTTCCTTCCTTCCTTCCTTCCTTCCTTCCTTCCTTCCTTCTTTCCTTCCTTTCTCTTTCTTTCTTTCTTTCTTTCTTTCTTTCTTTTTCTTTCTTTCTTTCTTTCTTTCTCTCTCTCTCTTTGTCCCTCTCTCTCTGTCTCTCTTCTGTCTCTCTATCTGTCTCTCTGTCTCTGTTTATATTGGGGTTTGCTGTGCAAGCACTCTGTCACTTGAGCTATGCTCCAAGTCCTTTTGTGTTTAGTCTGTTTTAGAGATAGGGTATAGATAACTTTTGCTCAGTCTGGCCTCAGACAACAATCCCCCTGGCTCTGCTTCCCGAATAACTGGGATTATAGGCAGGGCCTACCCTACTGGCTATGGTCTTTAACTTTTTTTTTTTTTTTTGGTCAGTTGTGGAGCTTGAACTCTGGGCTTGGGTGCTGCCCCTCAGCTCTTCAGCTCAAGGCTAGTGCTCTACCACTTGAGCCACAGCTCCACTTCCAGTTTTCAGTGGTTAATCGGAGATCAGAGTCTCATGGACTTTCCCGCCCGGGCTGGCTTTGAACCGCGATCCTCAGATCTCAGCCTCCTAAGTAGCTAGGACTTCAGGCGTGAGCCACCAGTGCCCCGCTTTCATGAGACTCTTATTCCCAATTAACCATCAAAAAAAAGCAGTGGCCCACATTGAAGAGTTCTAGCCTTGAGTGAAAAAGCCAAGTGAGAGATTGAGGCCCTGAGTTCAAGCCCTAATACCAATCAGAGACAGACAGACAGACAGACAGAGACAGAAGACAGAAGACAGAGAGAGATGGAAGATGGGGGGAAACAGGACAAGCACAAGGACAAGATAGCGAGAGCCAAATGTCAGTGGTCCACGCCTGTAATGCTAGCTACTCAGGAGGCTGAGATCTGAGGATCACAGTTTGAAGCCAACCTTGGCAGGAAAGTCTGTGAGGCTTTTATCTCCAATTAGCTACCCCAAAGCCCGGAAGTGGAGCTGTGGTTCAAGTGATAGAGAGATAGCCTTGAGCAAAAAATGTGCTGCCAGTGCCCAGCCCCTGAGTTCAAGCCCTAGGGCTGGCACACACACACACACACACAAAAGAAGATATAATGCTGCAGATAAGCATGTGGGCTCATCTGGTAATGGGTACAATAAGTCCTCTAACATAGCAGGAATTTATGGCCAACTTACAAGAAGGTAGATAAAGCTTAAATTCACTTTAGGAGAGTACTTTCCTTGTTTCTGCCACCTGGTATATTTGTCATACTTGCTGTTAAGCTGTTCTTTTTTCTTTTTCTTTTCTTTTTGTGTGTGTGTGTTGGTCATGGGGCTTAAACTCTGGGCTTGGGCGCTGTCCTTCAGCTCTTCAGCTCAAGGCTAGCACTCTACCTCTTGAGCCACAGTGCCACTTCCAGTTTTCTGAATGGTTTATTGGAAATAAGAGTCACATGGACTTTCCTTCCTGAGTGTGAGCCACCAGTGCCTGGCTTTTTTTTTTTTTTTTTTTGTCAACTGGGTCCAGAAATTTCAAGGTAGGCATGCTGGTTGAACAAAGGGCAGATTCTGCCACATACTCCCTTCAACACAGGTGTCCAGCCTTGAGATACTCATTTTAAACACATTCTATGCCAAGAAGAATTCTTTTCCTGGGGCTGGGAAGGTGGCTCAGTGGTAGAGCGCTTGCCTTGCATGCCTGAGGCCCTGCGTTCGATTCCTCAGCACCACATAAGCAAAAAAGAAAAAAGCCGGAAGTGGCACTGTGGCTCAAGTGGTAGAGCGCTAGCCTTGAGCTGAAGAGCTGAAGGACAGTGCCCAGATCCAGAGTTCAGGCCCCACGACCGGACCTAAAAAAAAAAATTCTTTTCCCAAGTTTTTGCTTTTCTAGATATCCTTGCTCAGTTTCCATAGCATAGCATTATAATTACCTTAGGCAAATGGAAAAAAAGTCTAAGGGAAAGAGTTTTTCTTTTCTTCTTCTTTTTTATTTTTGTTAGTCATATGGCTTGAACGCAGGGCCTGGGCACTACTACTTTCAACCACAGCACCATTTCCAGTCTTCTGGGTAGTCTATACAGTATGTAAAAGAATTGCAAGGATCAGATAGATGGCTGAAGTCTCTGCTCAAATACATGCTTGTCCATTCCTGACCTTTCCATGTGTTATTTCTTGCTTATTTTCCAGATTGGTGTCATTCTCTGTTTATGAGCTTCTGTGGAGCAAGCTTTTTTTTTGGGGGGGGGGAGGGGTCCCATCGTGAGGCCTGAACTCTGGGCCTCTGGGCCTGGGCACTGTCTCTCAGCTCGTCAGCTCAAGGCTAGTGCTCTACCACTTGAGCCACAGTGCCACTTCTGGCTTTTTTCTTTTTGTTTATGTGGTGCTGAGGAATCGAACCCAGGGCCTCATGCATGCAAGGCAAGCGCCCTACCACTGAGCCACCTTCCCAGCCATGAACCTGTTTGGTTTTTTAAAATTTATTCTATACAGTTAGGATTGTCCCCATTTACAAACAAGGGGGAGTGGTAGATAGAGATAAAGTGACTTGTGCAAGGCTGGGACTTAAAGCAGGTGTGTATTGCACACACCGGGCTCTTCTGCACAATGGTAACCAAAGACGGGATTGTACAAAGCATTTTTTTTGGCAGACAGTTCTAAGGGATACTAAACTTTTTATTTTTATTTTTTGCCAGTCTAAGGCTTCAACTTTGGTCCTGAGCACTCTCCCTGAGCTCCTTTTTGCTCAAGGCTAGCATTCTATCCCTTGAGTCACAGTGCCACTTCTGGCATTTTCTGCAAATAATTAGAGATAGGACTGCCCTGCCTGGGCTGGCTTTGAACCATGATCTTCAGATCTCAGCCTGCTGAATAGCTAGGATTACAGATGTGAGCTAATCAGGTACCTGCCTAACCTTTTTTTTTGACAAACTGGAATCTTCCTAGCATTGACCTAGACTCCCACATTAATTTTTCATGAAACTGAGCAGAGGGAACTGTAAGAAGTAGAGTTGATCCAGGCACCGGTGGCTCATGCCTAAGACCAGCACACAAAAAAGTGGAGGAGAGAAGTAGTAAGAGCTCTATCAATGAGAAAAAAAGCAAGAGGTCCTGTGTTCAAAATAAGCATTCACTAATGCACTAATGCTTACCATCTGTGTCTCACAGCAGAGATGGGGAATCATTTTTTCCATCAAGGGCCATTTGGATAGGTGGATGGGCCAAGTACATATATATCTGTCCCGTTGTAGTGATTTCACAGGCTGTATGAGACTAGGCTTGATTTTTTGGTGGTAAAGATTTTGAACTCAAGATCTTATGTTTGTGTTCTTCTATTTGAGGCATGCCTACAGCTCTGGTTGATTTTTTTTCTTGTTTGGATGGTACTTGGGGCTTGAACTCAGGGCCTTGTGCTTGCTAGGCACACACTATCATGGAGCCCGCCCCCAGAGACCTATGCCAATTTTTAAAAAAGAAAAAGAAAGAAAGACGGAAGGAAGGAAGGAAGGAAGGAACGAAGGAAGGAAGGGAGGGAGGGGAATAATTTTTAGTTTAAAAATAAAACTTAAGACCATGGTTGTTTGCTTGGTTTGGTCGGTCATGGGGCCTGAGCACTGTCCCTCGCTCTTCAGCTTAAGGCCAGTGCTCTACCACTTGAGCCACAGCGCCACTTCTGGCGTTTTCTGCTTATGTGGTGCCGAGGAATCGAACCCAGGGCCTCGTGCATGCAAGGCAAGCGCTCTACCACTGAGCCACCTTCCCAGCCCCAAATCATGAATTTTCTAACTCTGCTTGACTTTCCGTTATTTTTCAACCCAGGGGCCACTACCTCTGGTCTTCCTACCCCTGTGAGAGGCAGAGTGCTTTTGCTCGATTTTATCTTCATAAGAGCAAAGCCAAAGGCAAAAAGGCCTAAGCCAGGCTCCGAGGACGCCTAGCAACCGTTGCCATAACAACAAAGCTGTCGTCTAGCGGAACCTACAGGTTGGACGCCCCTCTGCATCCCAGAAGACACCGCGCTAGCTCCAAGTCTTCCGCCCCACTCCAATCCAACATGCAATGCGGCTCATAGTGTCACAAGGCGCCGTCCTTAGGGTGTTTGATAAAATGCCTGATACCCCTCCGTGTTGTTTAAACAATGTTGTTTAAACTTTCTATAACAGGTCGGCAGTGAGAAAAAAGTCAAAGTGATTTGTGTTTATAGAATTTTTGAGGGGGTGAAAACTCCCCCTCCCTCTCTCTCTCTGTCTCTGGATTCTTACAGGCATATTGCTGGACAGCCCACCCCGCCGGCGCGTTGAGGGTCCTGGGGGCCCTCCCCGGTCCGCACACGTGCACGAGGAAGTGGCGCGGTCTGTGGCCGTCGCGTTCGTTCTAGGCCCCGCAACGTGGAGCCATGGGAGGCCTGGAAAAGAAAAAGGTGCGTTGGAGAGACGGGGGGGGTCTCCAGGCAGTGACGGAGCCCCTCGCAGGACGCAAAGAGGGTCAGGGCGACGGGAGACGGCCCTGGAAGGCTCTCGAGTGTAGGGCAGGACCAGTTAGTTACCCGTTTGGTGAAATCGAAAAACGTTGTCGCGTTTTTGCTGCTGCTGTTGTTGTTTTGCTTTATGCCGGCCCTGGGGCTTGCACTCAGGGCCTGGCCGCCGTCCCTGAGCTCTTTTGCTCAGGGCTCGTGTCCTGCCGCTCGAGCCACAGCGCCTCTTCCGGCTTCTTGCTAGTTACTTGGAGAAGTCTCTCACGGACGTTACTGCCGAGGGTGACTTCGAACCGCCAGCCCCAGATCTCAGCCTCCCGAATTGGATTTTTTTTTTTTTTTTTCCTTTTTTCACCCCGGAGACCGGGACCCGAATATCGGACGCTTGCTTTGCTTTCTCTCATTGGCTGGCGCTTTATGATCTGAGCCACGCCTCCAACCCCCTGAGTTAAGAGCTCTTTATGTGGGAAAAATGGTGAGAATTGGGCTACCTCATAGCGTCACCCCTCAGGCAGGAAGACGGTTAACGAATGTCACCAGTGGGTTCTAGAGTTCCACTACAGGAAGTCATCTTGGCAGAATGTTTCTCTTTTTTCTTCTCTTTTTTTTTTTTTTTCAGTTGAACCAGAAACCCTGCCCTGAGCACTGGGGATGGAAATGTAAACTATAGGAAGTGGTCCCTGCTTTCCCCGACCTCACTGGGAAGATAGACACAAAAATAAACAGCCAAATACAGCGATCACAGATTGTCAAATGTGCTGGGGGTGGAGGTATGGCAGGCAACCACAGATACTGGTGTTGACTACAGGGCATTAACTAACTTAACTGTCTGAAGATTTCTTCAAAGTGTAACATTTCAACCAAAGTCTGGAAGGGCCAAACATCTTGGGTGGGTTCTGGCACCTGAGAGAGCTTAGATTGCCATTGGGTACTAAGGTAGGAAAAAGCTTACTTTGTACAAGGTTTTGTAAAGGCATCAACATAGCTGGGATATAATATCTAAGGGAAGAGTGTCATCTGGTTGAGGGTAGGGTTGGGCAAGGATTGTATTGTGCTAAGCCTTTTATTACTTACCTGTGTCTTTTGGCAGTATTAAACTCAGTGCATCCTGTTTTCTAGGCAAGTATTCTACCACTTGAGCCACAGCTTCAGCCCATTTTTGCTGTATTTTTCCCTTATGGACTTGTATTTTTTTTGTCCAGGCCAATCCTTCTAAACGCCTGCACCACACCTGGCTTGTTGGTTGAAATGTGGTCTTTTGCCTTGGCCTGGCCTCAAATTGCAGTCCTCCTGATCTTTGCCTCCCAGCTAGAAGGGATTACAGGCATGAGTCATGTATCTGGCCTAGCTTGGATTTCCAAAATGAAATCACACCTAAAGGTGATAATGTAGAAGGATTACAGTTACAAAAGTCAGGTAAAAGTACCTTTCTTTCCGGACAGTGTCCCCCTTCCTTTGCTGTCTCCTAGTTTTTCCCTCCCATCCCCACACACAAGCTGTATGGTTTATCTTCAACATAGTGTCTAGTGAGTACCACTGCTGCATTTGTTCACCCTTTGTCCCTCCATTTGTGTGTTATTGCCGACCCCCCACCCCTAACTTTTTGAAAGGAGTTATTGCTGTATGGAGATCACTTTGGTGGCATGGAAAGATGGGAGAGGACAGGAGTGAGGAAGATGTAGTTGGCTCAGGCATTTCCTTTCAACTTGAAAGATTCTGTTGCCAATTTATTTTTAACCCAGCTCACAACTGAACACGAAATCAGTGCTGACCCCTGCAGTTATAAAGATGTAAAATGGAAAATGTGTCAGTGATAACACAGCATGGGCAAATTAGAAGATACTTATATTGAGAACTGAAGTGCAAGAGACAGATCTACAGTTTACTGTTGTATTTGTAGGACCTAGCTTGGGCCTGATCCTAGTAACCACTAATGAATATGGGAAGGGAAAAAATGGTGTGTTTTTGTTTGTTTGTTTGTTTTTTTGGGTCCGGTTATGAGGCCTGAACTCTGGGCCTGGGCGCTGTCCCTCAGCTCTTCAGCTCAAGGCTAGTGCTCTACCACTTGAGACTTGAGCCACAGTGCCACTTCCGGCTTTTTTCTTTTTGCTTATGTGGTGCTGAGGAATCGAACCCAGGGCCTCAGGCATGCAAGGCAAGCGCTCTACCACTGAGCCACCTTCCCAGCCCCGTGTTTTGTATTGATAACCCATCAAGGCATCATTTGGGTTTGACTGTAGATAAAACTGGACCAGGGCCATAGACTTCTGTCTGCCTCCAGAGGAAGTGAGGTGGTTGGCATTGAGGTTTTCTGGTACAATAAATACACTGCCACCTCCAGAGGAGACAGATGAGTGTGAAGTAGCATCTTAGCACCTGATACAACCTACTCCTTGGGGTGGCTAGACACAAGGCCTTCTGTATATTGCCCGCACAGCACTTAGCCAAATGCTCTCAGCCTGGTAGTGGACTTGTGATTGTTGGATGAAAAAAGGGAGAAGGTGTGGCTTAAGGCATGTATTTTCATCCCGGATGGTAACACCCCTAAAGGAGCAAAGATGGGCATGGCAGTGGTCCATGGGTTTTACAAGAGCCACATTACAGAAGCAGGTCTAGAGTAAAGACATGGTATTAACATTTCATGGGGCTCTGTGGAAGAAAAGATGGAAGACGTCTCCTGGTGCTGGTGAGGGAGGGGGTGTAATGGGAAATGGAGAACACTGCCTTAGTGGCTGGGTGTGCAGGCTCTATAATCAGGCCTCAATTTGAATCCAGACCAGTTTAGTTCTTTAAAAGCCATATGACTTGGGGGGGAGGGCAGGTTTGTTCTTTTCTCCGTTAAAACAGATTCAGTGGCATCCACCTCACAGAGGGATAGGATTTGACTAAATGAAGTGTGATAATCACTAATTGTGCCTGCTGGTGTTTGAGCTAGTGCTAAGTACTTAAGTCCGCACCTGGTTCTGGGCAACCTCATAGTTCCCAACATCATGTGGTTTGTTGTATGTGTTTGAGGCTGACAACTCCAGGGATGGTGCAGGAAAGCTCTTTCAGGCAGGTCAGCTCTCTCTTCCTACAGTAATTCTCATTCTAGAAGTATCTTCTCCACTTAGCAGAGCAAGAGCTCCTGTGGAACTCTGCAGGCCTGCAATTTGAAGACAGTCCTTGGTAGTGTTACTGATGGAGGATTGTGTTTTTCCTTCCCAAGTATGAACGAGGCTCTGCCACCAATTACATCACCCGGAACAAAGCCCGGAAGAAGCTTCAGCTGAGCCTGGCTGACTTCAGGTGAGGTCGGAGACGAGTAGAGAGGGGAGCTGGGGCAGCGAAGCGCACATGGAATCTCGGCTGCATCCCACCTTCCCTGAGCTGCCACACTGTCTGGGGTCCTGGTGCTCCTCTTTCTCTCCTGGCCTTGCTTGACTGAGCTGTCTGGTCAGGTATGGCCCCAGGGAAAGCTAGAGAACAGGATCTTTGCCACTCTCTCCTTCCTTCTGGTAGAAGAGGCCTCTGATTCTTTAGGCAGGGGTGCTCACACCTTGTAGTCAAGTCCAGACTTTTTACAGCCTGCAGGCCATGTCATCAGGCTGACTGGGACGCTGTAGCCTCCCTTGACCCACTTTTAGTCCTTCACACGTGCCAAGCTAATGATGGCCTTATGGCCTTTGTGCTTGTGATGCTGTCCCTGTACGTTTTGTGTGCTTGAAATGGTGATTTCTTAGCAAGGCCTTTCCTGGCTTAAGTGCCTTCCGGTTTGTTTCCTCTCTTGCTCATCACATCTGCAGTATATGGTGGGAGCCTGTGATGGGCAGACTTGAGCTAGGACAGGAGTTGCCCAAAGAAAGTCAGAGTCCCCCGCTCCCTGTACCCCGTTGCTTTCCAGCAGGGCTCTTGCGTTCACTTTGCAAATGGTATCTATATTCCAGACGGCTGTGCATCCTGAAGGGCATTTACCCCCATGAGCCCAAGCATAAGAAGAAAGTTAACAAGGGTTCCACGGCAGCCCGGACTTTTTACCTCATCAAAGACATCAAGTTTCTCCTCCATGAACCCATTGTCAATAAGTTCCGGGAATACAAGGTGAGCGCTGCTGTCTGGCTGCATCCCCATTGTGCCTCTGGAACTCACTGGCACTTTGGGCAGGTTGCTTCCCTCCCAGAGCAAGCCTTCTACATCAAAAGGGGTATCTTATGACATTATCTGCTTCCAAAGCACAAAGGGTATTATTTTAGGGGCTTTCTGGTGCCTTATCTCCCCACAGACACAGCTCTTATTCTGGGTCTTCCTGAGGTGGCTCTCAGGAAGACCCAGAATTCCATTCCACTGCTAGAGATTATTAGTGCTCAAACACCATAGGGCAGCAGAAACCTATTTTGACCAAATGTAAATTATGAAAAGTAGACTAACAAAGTAGAATGCAGGGCTGGGAAGGTGGCTCAGTGGTAGAGTGCTTGCCTAGCATGCATGATCGATTCCTCAGTACCACATAAACAGAAAAGGCCAGAAGTAGCACTGTGGCTCACGGGTAGAGTGCTAGCCTTGAGCAAAAGAAGCTCAGAGACAGTTCCCCAGGCCCTGAATTCAAGCCCCAGGACTGGCAAAAAGAAAAAAGGAAGGAAAGAAGGGAGAGAATACTCCTGACTGGGAGCAGGGCCTGGCTGAGGAGGGGTGCCACCTGGTGGTGCAGGGAAGACTAGGCAGCAACCATTGGCTGGATTTTTCAGCCACATAAACTCCATGTTAGAAGGAGCTTCCCCATGGAGGGAGGTGGCTGTCCCTGAGCTACCCTGTGTAATCCTAAGTGCTGTTTAAGCTGTTGAGGGGCCTTAGGGCTGGACCTGAACAGAAGTTTTTCAAAGGAAGACGTCTGTTGGTTTGAAAGACTTACCCCACAGCTGGCCTCAGCTGCTTTTTTCTGGATGGCTTAGTACCACATAGAGACCCACAGCTGGTTTCATGTGAGCAGAGAGGACTTGGGGACAAAGGCCATCCATTTGGATCCTGATTTGCCTCAATGGCAGGTTACTTGCCCTCTTCTTCAGTAGAAAAGTGGGCTATGCTTTGCCTCCTCCCATTGTCCACCCATGAAAGGGTGCCCTAGTCTGGCTCTGATTGGGACCGTGGGTGCCTCTGGGATCCGTAATTGGCTGATGTCAGAGGGCATTGAGCTCCCTGTGAATGCACCCATCTTCCATGGAGGAGCCGTGCTAGTAGCCCCTGGCCCAGCATTGGTGTGGTCCCTTCCTCTTTCAGGTGTTTGTCCGGAAGCTCCGGAAGGCCTATGGGAAGAGTGAGTGGAACACCGTGGAACGCCTGAAAGATAACAAGCCCAACTACAAGCTTGACCACATTGTCAAGGAGCGGTAAGCTGGGTGCCCCCCCCCCAAAAAAAAAAAATCTGCTGCTGGTCTGTTTGTATCTGAGCTTTGTCCCAGCACTGTTACCATGAGAGGCAAACCAAGACCTTGTTCACAGAGCTCTCAGCCTTTCAGAGAAGGCAGGCCATAGTAATCGTAGCTTGCCCTGGGCTCTGAGCGGCCAAGAGGGAACTGCAGGCAGTGTATTGGTTACAGTGTCAAAGGAGGTTTCTGCAGAGGGACATGTTAGAGCCAGCCAGGAAAAGCATGTTCCAAGCAACAGCAAGTACAAAGGCTCTGTGGTGGGAGAGAACCAGTGCTCTGGGCTTCATGTAGGGTACATGTTGAGACCCTAAAGTATGTTGAGACACCTCTGCTCAGCCTTCTCGTGAACCTCTGTTCTGTGTTGATAAAGTCAGTGATTCTTAGCCAGGGTGATCTTGCCTCTCCAGGGACAGTGTCTGGATACACTTTGGGTTCCTATAATTTAAGGAACAAGTATGTGCCGTGAGTATCTAGGGAGTAGAGGTCAGGGATGCTGCTCAGTACTCTGTAGTGCCCAGAATAGTTCCCACAAGACAGAACAAATTGGCACCAAACCTCATTAGTGGTGAAGTCCAGAAGCCCTAGTGCTATGTCTTTTCTCTTCTGGGCTGAAGGCTCAGGCACACTCAGCTCCAGGGTGGATGGGCTTGGCTGCTTGCAGATCGGCCATGGGCCATGGACAGCTGGTGTTCTCACTCTGGCTCTGTGACCTGCGAGCTGTCCAGCCACAGCCGAATTCCTTCTCTGAGCCTGAGTGAGTCCTCAGCACTAGCAGATGATGGTGGCTCCTGTCCTGCCTGCGTCTTGGGGGACAGTTAGGGAAAAAGCAAGGGCTTGGGCATCCAGGTGGCACTCCTTTCCCTAGTCAGACGGGAGCTTGAGAAAGAAAATCAAGGGGTTCAGAAATTGTGGGTGGCTTGAGGCATTGGGTTTATTGCCACACTTCCGGGGGGACCAAGTGAAGTCCTACCCTGCCCCAGGGCTCTGGCCAGATCTCCAGTTGCCCCCCTCCTGAGTTTCTGTAGGCCTTTCATCCACTCAGGACCTGGCTACCCTCTTCTTAGTCATTGCAGTGGTTGATGCCATCTGGGTTTGGAAAGACCTTGTGCCCTGCAGAATCCTTTATGAAATTGCTGTTCTGAGAGGCTTTTGTTCAAGCCTAGTACTCTACTGCTTTGAGCCATAGTTGCACTTCTGGTTTTCTAGTGGTTAATTGGAGTTAAGAGTCTCATTGATGTTACTGCCTGGTCTGGCTTTGAACCTTGATCCTCAGATCTCAGCCTCCTAAGGAGGTAGGATTACAGGTGTGAGCCTCTGGTGCCTTACAATGCTTTTTTAAAGATGGCTTCTTGGGAGGCAGTTTGGAGGGAGGGAGGCTAGAAGGCCCTGCTGTCCAACTGTGCCCAGGGCATCTCCAGGGAACTGCAACGATCTGGTCCAGCAGTGTGAAAATGAGGTTGGATGAGTCTAAGGGATGGAAGTCATGGCTGAGTGTGGAACTGGAATCCATGTCATTCCTTGTGCCCACACCTCTGTCCCTTAGCTGGCAGGGTGTTTCTCTTGTCCTCATTGACCGCAGCAGTCCTGGACACACGTGTTGCTCTGACTCTTCCTGGCCTAGGGCCCAGTTCTGGCATTGTTGCCCTGGTTCTAATTGGTTCTACCAACCAGAAGGGTGTGGTTAAAGTGGTCATGTGTGGTCAGGCCTAGATGCAGGGGCAGGGGCAGCAGCCCACCCTCCTCCCTGGCCCACTAGGGCACCCTCCCATTTTCTACCCTAGACCTCCCAGTAGTTTACCTTCAAACATTCACACCAAATGCAAAGGGTCAAGGCCAGGGTTTGAGGCTCCCAACCCCAGGATGTCTCTGGTCCTCAGAGCTCAGTGGATGTGTCCTGTTCCTTATGACCAGCTGTGGGAAGTAGGCTGCTGCTTCAGCCAGGATGTGGCGTGGCAAGGCCTGGCCTGGGAACAGGACCTCTGGGGTCATCATGGGTAAGGTGGGGTGAGGAGGTCTGGCTAAGCAAGCTCATGAGTACTGCCTTTGTGCCCGGCAGGTACCCCACTTTCATTGATGCTCTGCGAGACTTGGATGATGCCCTGTCCATGTGCTTCCTGTTCTCCACCTTCCCCCGGACGGGCAAATGCCACGTGCAGACCATTCAGCTCTGCCGCCGCCTCAGTGTGGAGTTCCTGCACTATGTCATCGCTGCCCGTGCCCTGCGCAAGGTGACCTAGGAGACCCTGGGGGTCTTCCACTTCCCTGCCACCTGATAGTTTTCATACCTTCTCCTGTCCCCGCAGGTTTTCCTATCGATCAAAGGGATTTACTACCAGGCTGAGGTGCTGGGGCAGCCTATAGTGTGGATCACACCCTACGCCTTCTCCCATGATGTGAGTATGCCCTGAGGAGGCAACGTGGGGAGGAGGGAGGCTTGCGGGCACCAGCTTCCTGATGGTTAGAGTGGCTTGGGATGGCATGAGGAATTTGCTACACAGCCAAGGAGCACCCCTGTCATGTGACTCACTATTGGGTTGTCGGGGTGATATAGATGACTCGGACACCCAGTCCTGTCAGCTCCAGCAGCCACCGTGTTCCTTCACTTGTCTATGCCTCATTTAGATCTAGGCCTTGTGAGGGTTTAAGGGCAAAGAAATCTTGAAAGTGCCTGAGCTTGGCCCTTGGAGGCCATATGACAGAGGAGCAGCTCTAGGGATGTTGAGTGGCAGCAGTGCCCAGGCTAGTCTTGTCCTCACTCTGTCAGTAACAGTTGTAGCCAAGTGTCTTCGCTCCAGCTGTTTACAGGAGAGGCTGCTGCATACTGGTCTAATAAGTCTTTGGGGTCATGACTCTGCCTCTTACTGATCTAAGTCTTGGGAGTGTGGCAGGGCCCCCTTGCAGAAGTCCTGGTTTGACCTCCTTTGGAAGCACCTGACTTTTCCTGGTTTGATTGCCTTACCTGTGTATTTGCACTTGGCACCACTGAGTGGGAAGTAGAACCATCCATGGAGCACAGGTGCCCTGGCCTGGCTGAGTGATGGGCTTATTTATTGCTTGGGTTATCAGAGCTTCAGAACAAGCTGCTGAGTCCCCAGACTGCTCAGGGTACGAGGGCTGCTCTGACTGTCCTGAGCCCTGTGTCACTGAGCTTCTCAGTGGGTGAGACTGCAGTCTGTCTGTGCATAGAGATGGGTTTGGCACTCCACAGTCCCTGCTCCCACTGCTTGGGACAGGCTATTGGGCAGCCAGAGCCTGTGGCCCTTCTCTCTCCCCCTCCATCCCTTCTTTCCTTCCTTCCTTCCTGCCTTCCTCTCTGGCCCTCTCCAGCCTTCCCTCTGATCTCCCACCCCCATGTTCTGAGACTAGTCTTTGTCTGCCCTCCTGGGTAGTGAATAGGGCCAGTGGAGGACCAGCCTCCGCACAGCTGGCTCTGCTCAAGGGGGAAGGGCACAGGCCGCCCATGCTGCTGCCAGGGCTTCCTCTATTGGGCTTCCTCTTGGCTGAGGATGTATGACTAGTCTTGGGGTGTGGTAGGGGTTTTGGCCTGCTCCTTAATGGAGCAGCCAGTCTGGGTGCCTAGCAGTGGGCCCCGGGCCTCAGGGGAAGGGATTCCTTGCCTGGGGCAATGGGAAATGATGTTGGTGTTCACCTGCCCAGGTAAAGTTTCACAGCCCAGGCCACCACCTGGCAGCAAGATGGAGCAGCCACTCAGAAGTCAAGATGGTGTGGTCTTTAGTGGTCTTGACATTCAGGCCTCAGCAGTGCTGGCTAGGCCTCTCTGGTTTCAAAGGATAGTCCAGGTCACAGGCTTGGGCCTGAGAAGGGTCACTGAAATCTGAGCCTCATCAAGCTCAGGTGTGGATGATCGAGTCCTGTCTTCCAACCTGGGCTGGGCTTTTTTTTTTTTTTTTTGGTTGATCATAGGGCTTGAACTCTGGGCTTGGGCACTATCCCTCAGCTCTTCAGCTCAAGGCAAATGCTCTACCACTTGAGCCACAGAGCCACTTCCAGTTTACTAGTGGTTTATTGGAGATAAGAGTCTCATGGACTTTCCTGCCCAAACTGGCTTTGAACCGTGATCCTCAGATCTCAGCCTCCTGAGTAGGATTACAGGCATGAGCCACCAGCATCCGGCTCTGGGCTGGGCTTTCTGAGGCCCCTTAGCCAAGGCCTGTCACCCCTCTTCTACCTGTGGATTGTGCTGCTTCTGGCATGGCTGCCTTCCCAGCTCTGGGCATGATCTGTTCCTCTTTCCTCCCACCCACATGAGGGTCTAGAGGCACTGCTGTCCGCATACCCCGGCCCTTAAGACCCTTCTCTAGAGCCTCACTTGTGCCCAGAATGTCAGAAGTGGGACCAATGCAGCTTCAGCCCTGTGCTCACTGCTGACACACCTCCTGTGCCTCCAGCACCCGACAGATGTGGACTACAGGGTCATGGCCACTTTCACCGAGTTCTACACCACCCTGCTGGGCTTCGTCAACTTCCGCCTCTACCAGTCACTTAACCTCCACTACCCTCCAAAGGTAGGGCACCCCCACCAGCACCTGGTCCTTACAGGGCCTGAGCCCAGCCCTAATCCTTACCCCAAAGTAAAGACCCAGGGGTCTTCTTCCTTCTGACCTTTCCCCTGTCCCCCAGCTTGAGGGTCAGGTCCAAGCAGAGACAAAGGCCAGCGAGGCCACTTATGCCCTGGACTCCGAGAGCTCTATAGAGGTAAGAGGGGCTGCGTCTTCTCAGGTTGGTGGTCCCTGACCCCAGCACTCTGGGGTTCTGACTCCAGTGGGAGGTGGCTTGGCCAGGAGAGGTGTCTCAGGCTCTACCCAAAGAGCCCAGACTCGTGTGTGGCTCGGAGCTGCCCCTGCTTTCTCCCCCACTGGCCATCATGCAGTCCTGCACCTCGCTTCCCCCTGTAGAAACTGGCGGCCCTCAGTGCCAGCCTGGCCCGAGTGGTGGTACCTGCTGTGGAGGAGGAGGCCGAGGCCGATGAGTTTCCTGCTGATGGGGTGAGCACCACGTTGCCTTCCAGAGGGGCAGGATGGAGCCTGGGGGAGGCACCTGGAGGCTGCCCTTCCCCCAACAGGGCTAGGCAGTCCTGGTGACCCCAGCCCTGACCCCTCCACAGGAGATGGCCACACAGGAGGAGGAGCGCAGGAAGGAGCTCCAGGCACAGGAAAAACACAAGAAGCTCTTTGAGGGCCTGAAGTTTTTCCTAAACCGTGAGGTCCCCCGCGAGGCCCTGGCCTTCATCATCAGGTGCTCCCACTGAGAGCTGGGTGGGCAGGGCCCTGAACAGACAGGACCTGAGGTGGGGATGGGCAGGTGCATCCTGGGGAACTGAACTAAAGTTGGAGGCAGCCCGTGTATCCAAGGGCAGATAACTCATGCCTGGACTTACCTGGTGCTCACAGGAGTTTTGGGGGAGAAGTGTCCTGGGACAAGTCTCTGTGCATCGGGGCCACCTATGATGTCACAGACTCCTGCATCACCCACCAGATTGTCGACCGGCCTGGACAGCAAACATCTGTCATTGGCAGGTAGGCCCTGAGGCCCCTGGAGGCAGTGGGTGGGACCCCTGCTGGATCCCTGTGACCCACCTTCGCTGCCCACCTAACCAGGTACTACGTGCAGCCCCAATGGGTGTTTGATTCTGTGAACGCCCGGCTGCTCCTCCCTGTGGCTGAGTACTTCCCCGGGGTGCAGCTGCCCCCACACCTGTCACCCTTCGTGTCTGAGAAGGAGGGAGATTACATCCCACCTGAGAAGCTGAAGCTGCTGGCTCTGCAACGGGGAGAGAGACCAGGTGAGTGAGCTGGAGCTGGGGCAGACAGGCTCCCCAGGGTGGCCTGGGGCCCCATGCTGGCCATTTCCCTTTGCTATCGAGTTGGCAGAGGTCAGGGAAGAGAGCAGGCAGCAGCTGCCTCTGCAGTGAGAAGGGACATCTGTATTTTAGTCATGTGTTGACATTCAGGGTGACAGCAAGAATGTTTGGGGGTGGCAGCAGGGCTGAGAGCCTTGGAGTTTCCTTTGAAGGCAGCTCCCCTGAGACTCTGGGAGGGGTCGGGGAGCCTTGGGGAAAGGGACAGTCAGAGCTGTCTCAGCAATGGCTGAAGACATTAGGGCCCAGCTTCATGCTACAAGGACCGAGTGGGTATCCAGGGTATTAAGATGTTACCTGCCATGTGTAGAACACGTAAAAGAGGAGGAAGAGGATGAGGAGGAAGAGGATGAGGAAGAAGAGGAAGACAGTGAAGACGATGGTGATGAAGGGGAAGAAAATGAAGAGGAGGGGGCCAGTTCCGAAAAGGAGGAAGAAGCCCAGCTGGCAGCCATGGAGGAGCAGAGGCTCGGGGGAAAGGTATGGGGTCCTGGCTGGGACCCTGCTGGGGCAGGAGCTCCTGAAAGCACAAAAGGGCTGGAGCTGTGTCCTAAGTACCTGCCCTTTGTCCCCAGAAGCCCAGAGTGATGGCGGGTACCGTGAAGCTGGAGGACAAGCAGCGGCTAGCCCAGGAGGAAGAGAGTGAGGCCAAGCGCCTGGCCATCATGATGATGAAGAAGCGGGAAAAGTACCTTTACCAAAAGATCATGTTTGGCAAGAGGCGGAAAATCCGAGAGGCAAGTTGCTGCTGTGCCTGGCAGGCCTGGGCAGATGGGGCACTCTCTTGGTGCCTTCTTCTGGGGTCACCCCTGGGCCTTGCCTCCCACAGGGCTTCAGTCCCTTACTGCTCTCAGCTGTTCTGAGTTTAGGGTCTGGAAACCATTATCCTGGCAGACTTGAGAGGTTGCTGTTAGACTTACACTCTTTTTTTTTTTTTCTGCTTCACAGGTCACATGTTTACTTAAAACCAATTATATGCCCCAGAATTCTGTAACAGATGACACATAACTGGCTCACAGCCCTGCCTTTGAGCTTGCTAGTAGTCACAACTCCCAAGGTTTTTCTTTTTTTTTTTTTTTTTGGGAGGGGGGTGGATCCGGTCGTGGGGCCTGAAATCTGGGTCTGGGCGCTGTCCCTCAGCTCTTCAGCTCAAGGCTAGCGCTCTACCACTTGAGCCACAACGCCACTTCCTGCTTTTTTCTTTTTGCTTATGTGGTGCTGAGGAATCGAACCCAGGGCCTCATGCATGCAAGGCAAGCGCTCTACCACTGAGCCACCTTCCCAGCCCCAAGGTTTTTCTTTTTTTTTTTTTTTTTGTCGGTCATGGGGCTTGAACTCTGGGCCTGGGCGCTGTCCCTCAGCTCTTCAGCTCAAGGCGAGCGCTCTACCACTTGAGCTACAGCGCCACTTCCGGTTTTCTGGTGGTTTATTGGAGATAGGAGTCTCACAGTCTCTCCTGCCCGGGCTGGCTTTGAACCGCGATCCTCAGATCTCAGCCTCCTGAGTAGCTAGGATTACAGGCGTGAGCCACCAGCGCCCGGCCCCAAGGTTTTTCTTGTGTGAGGAGTGTCATGTTATATATTGTTTTTAGGGTTTTTTATTTGTTTGTTTGTTTTTTTAAGTAGGTTCTTGTGGTTTTTCCCCAGGTCAGCTTGAACTGTGATTCTCTTATTTATACCTCCCATATAGACAGGGAAGCACAGTTGTATGTATATCCAGTGTTTTGGTTAAGAGGGGGTTCTGCAAACTTTTTAAACCTGAACTGACCTTGAACCACACTCCTGATCCTTCCCTCTGCTCCCTGTCCTCTGTATTATTTTGAAATGTGGTTTTTCACTTAACTGTAGGATGGACTTTCCTCCGTGACATTGTGCAGTATGTGACCCGTCCTGTACTGGGAGTAGGGCATTTTCCATTTTCAGTCATGCTGGGGCAGCCTCTGCCCACTTGTGGCTGTTTGTGCAGGCTGAATTCTTTGGCGTGTAACTGCACCATGGTGGCCCCAGGGAGACTTTCCTTTATCCTCCCTATCAGCCCCTAGTAAAGACCCAGTGGCCTGGGGCTTCACTTTCTCTGAGTGGAGCCATACACTGCAGAGACTCCTTCAGCTCTGGGAGCCTGGATTCATTCTCTTCCTGGGAGGTTTTTATCATGAAATGATAGGGAGTTGTAAGGCCAGGGGTGGGGAATGTTTTCTCACCTGAGGTGAGTCTAGTTTCTTCCTGTAGTGGTTTGCTTCTGAGCTTTTCTAGAAGCTCTGCTTTTAGCCAGTCCTCCCTGCCCCTGACCTTCACACTCAGCCTGATCTCTCTCTTCTTCCTCACAGGCCAATAAACTAGCAGAGAAACGGAAAGCCCACGATGAAGCCATGCGATCCGAGAAGAAGGCCAAGAAGGCAAGGCCTGTATGAGTGCGGGAAGCCTGTCAGCGGGCTGAGGCCGACTTCCAGCAGCAGGACGTGGTGGGGCAAGCCGGGCTTGTGACAGACCATCACCTGTTTTTCCCCACCCTCCCACCCCCAGCCAGCCCGGCACCTTTGAGCTGTCGGGCTGGGTGTGTGGGCAGCTCCAGCCTCTGCTGGGTGGAGCTGAGAAGAGCAGAGGAGGCCTCTGCGCCCAACCCAGTCCTGTGCTTGGAGGGTCTGCAGCATAAGGGACTGGGGCCCTGACCCAGCCTTCTTCACCCTGGCTTTCCACAGCCCCCACCCACACTGGACCCAATTCTCAGGGTACTGTAATGGGGGAATGGTATAAAGCTTTTGTATTAAAAGAGCTGAATGTTATGATTAAAGAGCCATCTGGATTCTGTGATGGGGAGCTTTCTGGGGCTGGAAAGGGGTGCCTGGTGTTCTGTGCTTCAGGCTGGCCCAGCTCTGGGTTTGACTTCCATGGGCCCAGATACTCTCAGAGTTCTCTGGATGTCCAAGGATCTCTCCAGATCAACTCTCAGGGGGACCAGAGAGTTGGCACAGAGACTCAGCTTGGACCCCACAGCTGCCCTGAGCCATTCACATTCCAGCCTAGCACTTCCTTGTGGACCTGCCTCCACAGAGATCCTAGCTCAAAGGTTAGGGCTGGTACCATCCCCTGAAGGACTGTGGAGGGAAGATTCACTGTGAGTGTCACTCAGTAGGTGTTCTACCCCAGCTGTGATGGTGGCTGGAAAGAAAAGCCAGTGCCTAATGGAGTGAGAGTGGGAGGGCAGGAATACTTTCCTTTGTGGGCACATCCTCCATGGAGCTCATGGGACCCTTGGCGAGGGTACTCTTCTGAGCTGAGTGCAGTTAGAGTAGGGCTGGGCTGGGGAGAGTGGGCTTAGTGGCCCTACCTTTCCTCAATCTATGCACCTGAGCGCTAGCCTCTGCCTGTTACATGCTGGCTCCCTAGGTGGGGAAGGCTGCAGGAGGAAGACAGCGTGGCAGGCCCAGGGAGCAGACAACCCAGCTGCCACCAGCTGTGAGCGGGCTGCGTGGCCCCCATTCTGGCATGTCCATAGCTGTGGTGGTACTGGAAGGGGGCTGTCTGGAGTCAGGAACAGAGAGAATGCAGCCACTGCTTACAACCCCAGGGCGTGAGTCAGGCCTGCGCTGCCTGGGTTTGGGTATATCCCTGGGCCACAAGATCAGAACCTGGACCGTCAGATACAGAAAAATGCCTGGCAGCTATGTTGATGTGGAATTTTCCTCCTTCCAGAGTTGTGCAGAAATGGCAGGGGCAGTGAGGGCTCAGACATGGACCTTTGCTCTACTGGAGGCCAGTTGGTTTTGAGCTGCCCACAACTCACCTGAGAATTCCTGATTTGGTGAGCAGTAGGCCCCATCCTTGGTGAAGGAAAGGAAGATGGGGACCTAAATGCGTCACCCACATACAGTGGCCCTGCCCTCGACAGTGGTGGGCACGTTGGACAGGAGTGGGCAGTTGAGACCTCCAAGTCCCCTTCAAGGCCCCTTTGAGGCTGAACCTCTCACTTGGGTTCGGTGATACTGATGTCTCCCACCCCTGCTCCCACCTGCCATCCTTCCCCAGGAAGCTCCAATACTCCCCACAAGTTATTAAGCAACCAGATCTGGGGCTCCTTTTCCCAGCTCCACCCTTGTGCCCCCCTCCCAACCCCGGCTGGGCCCAAGGACTTGCTACAGGACAATGGTCCCCTTGGCGGGTCCCAGACAAACGGGCCTTGTTGGGCAGGCGGCGGGGGCGCTGTGCAGTGCCCAGGGTCTCTGAATGCGGCTACTGTGCCTCCCCGGCAGACGCGCTGAGGCCCGGATGGGGCGGGGAGGGGGCTGGGCCCGGGGCGCCCATTGGCCGGGGCACCGCCGGGGGGGCCGGGCCAGGCTCGTGGCCGCACCTGGCCAGGAGCGGGCGCAGCGGGCAGCAGCGGGCGGGCGGGCGGCCGGCAGGGCCGGGGTATGGACCAGGCCTGGCGGAGCGCAGGGCCCCGGTGGGGGCGGCCCAGGCCGAGTCAGCCACGCTGAACCCCAGGAGGACCGGGCCAAGGTACGTCCCGGGTCCGGCACCCACCCGTGTGCCCTGCCTCAGTCTACTCCCGGAGGGCCCCGCCCACTTAGCGCCTGTCACCAAACTGAGACCACACGCGTGTCCGCGGAAGGGGAATGGGGGCGCACCTCGCTACTCCCGGGGCCGGGGGCCCTGGTGGCTCAGGTGGGTGCTCACTTAGACCCTGGGGTCCCCAACCGTACACCCTGGTCCCCAATCCCTAAAAGGTGGGATGGGTGGGGCTGGCAAAAAGTCTGACTACGGGGCTGGGCAGGCTCTGTGAGTTCATTAATGATTAATCCTCTCTGAAGCCTTTCCCTGAGGCCGACAGGAGGAGGAAGAGGGGCAGGATCTCCCCCCACCCTCCCCAGACGGGGCTGTCCTAGCAGAGACTGGGAGCCAGGGTACCCAGCAAAGCCTGCTGCTCAGAGAAGGTCCTGATGCTTGTCCTGGAAGTGGGGGCAAGGGGGCGGGGGAAGGTCACCGAGGAGAGGCTCCTTGAAATTCCACAGTTCCCATGAAAATCCCACGGATTCCAGCCTAAACCAGTGCCCAGCCAAAGGCTTCTGAGTTTGGTCCACTTGCTCTGCTCGGTGCCAGCCTAGCATTCTGGTAACATCACAGTATGGGACTGCGATCCCTTCCCAGCTGCCCGGAGCAGCAAGGGCCTCTCTCTCTCTCTCTCTCTCTCTCTCTCTCTCTCTCTCTCTCACACACACACACACACACACACACACACATCTGGCTGCTGTAACCTACACTAGAGGGAGGGAGGGAGAGAGGGAAGCAGACTGTCATCTGATCCCCAAGTTGCCATGGTGACAGGTCCTATGGAAATCCTTGAGAGGAAAGGGGTGACAGGAGTGGATGGTTCTGGAAGTGGATGGTTCAACCTCTTCTTCTACCTGAGGCCTAGAGGGGTGGGGGGGGGGGGTGAGGCTTATTCCAGGCCTTTCTGGAAGCCCAGGAAGGTAAGCCTGGACCAGTGCAGCCCCAAAGCTACTCTTCACCTTACCCTGCAGGGAATATTGTCTCCCTTTTATCTAGGGGGAGAAACTGAGGCCAGGGACATAGCGGATTTGTCTAAGATCCTATAGTTCAGACGTGGCTGAACTGACTCCAAATCACAGGCATCTCCTCTGAGCCTCCGCCCCAGAACCCCCAGCCCTATCCAGGCCCTTTCTGCCCCACTGGAGTCTCATCAGCATTTTTAGATCTACTTGGGCTGCCCCTAACTCCCCAGTTCAAGACCCCCTCCCCTTTGCTTCCCTGGCTCCCAGCTCTGCCTGACACTTGGGGGGTGGCAAGCTCTTCCCCTGGGAGCAGAGACAACAGAGCCCTGTTCCCAGCTGCCACCTCGGGCTGCTGCTGCTTCATCCCCTGCCTTAAAGGAAGCTCGTGGGGACAAAGAAGGCCTGCTTTTCCTGCATCCCTTACAGAGATCTGTGTCTTCTGGTCACCGAGCTAGAGAGGAGTGTGTCCCCTCCAGCCCCTCCTGCTGGCCTCCGAGGCCCTGTGTGTGTATGTGTGCTGCCCGGTGAAGGAGGCAATGATTAACCTGGGAGAAATGATGCATACATGGAATTCTGGGTGTGGCACAGCCTTGTGAAAGGCTTGCTTTACTTTGACTAGGTGAGGAATATGGATGAACCCACCTTACACTAGTAGCCAGACCGGGCTCCAGGCAGAGAAGGATGGAGCAGAGAGCCCCAGATCACTAGAGTGGGAGGGAGTATCCCCAAGAGTCAGACACCTGCTTTCCCACATGCCAACTCTGGGGCACAGAGAAGGAGAGCCTGTCATCCTGGGCAAGGCCATCCTGACGATGCATTTGTGTTGCCTGGTGTAGAATATGAGGGTGGGGGACACATGGGTGCATGGGAGCTATGTTGATGGGGAGAGTGGCCATGCAGGCGTTTGCTTCCCTTGCCAGGTGACATCTAGAAGGACTATGGTCAGGTGCCAATGGTTCATGCCTATAATCCTAGCTACTCAAGAGGTTGAGATCTGAGGATCATGGTTCAAAACTAGTTTGGGCAGACAAAGCCAAAAGACTTTTATCTCCAATTAATTAGCAAAAAGCCAGAAGTTGAGGGAGTGGCTTTAGTGGTAGAGTTTGTAGCCTTAAGGGGAAGATTACTACTACTACTACTAATAATAATAATAACAAATAGCTAAAAGTTTTTAAATTAAAAAAATAGAGTCTAAGGGTATGAGATGTTTGCAGAATGTCTAAAGAACAGTGGGAAGCCGAAGATTTGTTGGCTCACACCTATAATCCTAGCTACTCAGCAGGCTGAGATATGAGAATGGTGGTTCAAAGCTGGAAATGTGACTTAGTGGTAAAGTGCTTGCCTAGTATGCATGAAGCTCTACATTTGATTCCTCAGTACCACATAAACAGGAAAAGTCAGAAATGGCAGTGTGGCTCAAGTGGTAGAGTGCTAGCCTTGAGCAAAAGAAGTTCAGGGATAGAACCAAGGCTCTGAGTTCAAGCCCCAGGATGGGCAAAGAAAAAAAAAGGAAAAAAGCTAGCTCCAGGCAGGAAAATCTGTGAGACCCTATCTTCAGTTAACTACCAAAACTGGAGATGAAGCTGTGGCTCAAGTGATAGAGCAATAGCCTTGTGCTCAGACCCTGAGTTCAAGCCCCAGGACTGGCACACACACACACACACACACACACACAGTTATGAGATCCTACCTCAGTAGAAAAAGTTGGTGTTGCCAGGTACCAGTGGCACACACCTGTAATCCTAGCTACTCAGGAGTCTGAGATCTCAGAATAGTCATTCAAAGTCAGGCAAAAAAGACCCCTGAGACTCATCTCCAACTAACCACTCAAAAACTGGAAGTGGAACTGTGGCTCAAAGTGGTAGAGTACTATCCTTGAACAAAAAAGCTCAAAGACAATGCTCAGGCCCTGAGCTCAAGCCCCATGACCAACCCAAAAGAAAGAAAGAAGAAAGAAAGAAAGAAAAAGTTGGTGTGGTGGCGTACATGTCTGTCATCCTAGCTTTAGTGAGAAGTATAAATAAGGTGATCAAGTAAGTCCTAACCGGCCAAGTAGAAAGTGAAATTTTAATCTCAGAAGTCACTAGAGCAACGAAGGGTTTGAGGCATGACTCAAGCAGTAGAAAAACTGCCTAGCAAACACAAAGCCCTGAGTTCAGATTCCAATATTGAAAAAAAAAAAGGGGGGGGGGAGGGGGGCACGGGGAAGGAAAGGAATGATTTTGTCCAACAAGACCATGTAGGAGAAAGAGTTCTGAGCTTCCTCCCAAGTT